AACTTTAGTTCATAAACGCACATCGATACATAACTCAAAACTCAAACTCTCAGACAGGTACATTCTACCAAGTAAAAGTAAATATAATAATAGATTACGCTTTGGTACTAGCTTATTTCATTTTTTTCAAGCCCTGTTTCAACATGTGGCCAGCAGTCTTTGCCAGAATGGTACGGAACATCAACGGAATAGGGCCAGGCTGGTGCGTGACATGATGATGGCCCCGCACACCGAACAAGTTCGAGCATGAGAGCATGTATTTTCTCCTGCTGAATGGATGCCTGTGCAGCGGTCTCTAGCTGTCAACGCGTTTTGTCACGAAGGCGGTGAGTCTCCAAACGACGGGATATTTGCTCCGTCGTTTCTTGCTGTTGGCATAGCCTTTCGCAAGCACGGCGACTCTCGAGGCGGCGGGACCTTTCTTCTCCCTTCTTCTACTCTCTGTGTAGGCACTACTGCCGACGCCGTCTGCTCAGAGCTTCAACACTGTCACCCCTGTCATTTTGCTCTTCCTCATAGTCCTCTTCTAATGATCTCAGCATTCTATTTATACAACAACTACGCCCATTAAAACACAACAATCCACCCGATCCGTACATTCCCGGCCCATCAGTACCACACCCCTAAACTTTCGAAAAATAGCACGTCACTTTCTATGGTCTTTTGAAATCAAACCGCGGCCATTACAATAATGCGATCTAAACCATACCTAGGAATGGGTTTGCTCCCCACACTGGAGCTCGCGCTATTCCGCCGACTTGACGCTTGACGGACTCACGACTGCCATCCAGAGTCGCAACCATTCTTTCTAAACCATACCGCTAATTATTTTAGTTAGCTATCCACTTACCGGTATATCCTTTACCGAAATTGTATTCTTTAACGCAATATTCTTCTTTCTTTTTCTTCTACTCCATTCCATCAGCACCCGGCCGATGGCAGAAGATTGGCATCCACTGGGCTAGCATGCAGCAGCCAAAGCTGGGGCCTTTTCTTACTCCGCTAAACCCCCTTCTTAAAACGAAACTGACGTGCATGTTCACTGCCGAATTCTGCCGAATTCCCGTCCGCCCGGAGGATTGGTCCTTGTCGATCCGCTGGCAGGATCAATACTTTTATGAGAGTGCCCTGCCCTTCAGACTGTATTACGCTCCAGTCCAGCTATATGGAACTCTGTCGCATCCGCCAGTGAATGGATTATGTGCTAGCAGTTCGCACTCACACGCCTGTTGCATTACGGGGAATACCTCAACTAACGTTACTTCCTCAGTGCATGCTCTGGACTTGTGTTAGCTTGCCAGCAATTTGCTATTCTGCTCCGAGCGTTTACATACTTCGATGTTTCTCTGGCCCCAGCAAAAGTGGAGGGTCCAGCTCAAGTCCTGACGTTATTGGCATCATCCCAATACGGGGAGTACCTCGACTAACGTTTCTGTCTCCATGCATGCTCTGAACTTGTGTTAGCTCGCCAGCAACTCGCTACTCGGCGCCGCGCGTTTACATACCTCGGTGTTTCTCTGGCGTCAGTAAAAGTGCTTTCTCAATGCATGCTCTGGACCTGTGTTAGCTCGCCAGCAACTCGCTACTCGGCGCCGCTCGTTTACATACCTCGGTGTTTTCTCTGGCGTCAGCAAAAGTGGAGGGTCCAGCCCACGTCCTAATGTTTATCGGCGTCATCCTGGACACCCGCCGCGCTAACATCAGTATGCCTATGGACGAACTTGCCGAGCTTCGTGATCTCCTTCGGGCCACTCTTCACACAGCTTCAACTACCCAATGTCAACTCGAGTCTCTTCTGGGAAAGCTCCCGTTTGCTACAAGAGTGATAGCCCCTGGATGCAAATTGCAGATTGTGGTCACTTGCCAACTGGTACCGGCAGCCGTGTTACCTGATCAAGCTCTCCAAAGAGTGCCTCAAAGATCTTCGCTGATGGCCTGAGCTCCTGGATTAGCGGAACGGCCGGTCCTTCTTCCTACACCCTAAATGGACGCCGTCCCCCGACTTGTTGGTATTCACTGATGCAAGTGGTGCACTTGGCCGGTGCTCGTACAATTGCGACCGGGGATAGGGCGATGGACAGTCAATCAAGCAGAGCAGCAATCGCAAAGGGTTGTTTACAATTGTGGCAGCCCGCAGCACCTGGGAAAACTAGCGGCATCAGCTGCGAATGCCAATCGATGGGCATTTACAGCAACTGCGAGGATATTGCTCACCAGTTGTGGCTTTGGCCTGGCGGTGTACACCGGCCACTCGTTTCGAATCAGCTGCGGGACTCGATATTCAGAGAGGCGGGAAGGTGGAAAGCGATGTCTGCCCGAGTAACATTCGGACGCCACCTGCAGCCAAAGTATGGGTGGCTGCGGCAATGGCCTCAGCCCATGATATCAAGTTCTGACAGTCTTTACCTAGCTTGCACCGCTTACAGATTGCACGGGTAGCTGCACTTTGTGATCCGCTCCGGGAGTGCCGATTTATGTGGGGTATATGCTCTCAACTGGTTATGCATACCAATATATTTAGCATTTGGAGGCTCTACTCAGAGTCATTGGCGGCTCTACTCAGAGTCATTGGCGGCTCCATGCGGAGTCATTGGCGGCTCCATGCGGAGTCATTGGCGGCTTCATGCGGAGTCATTGGCGGCTCCAAGCGGAGTCAATTTGCGGCTCCATGCGGGGTCATTCGGCGGCTCCATGCGGGGTCATTCGGCGGCTCCATGCGGGGTCATTCGGCGGCTCCATGCGGGGTCATTCGGCGGCTCCATGCAGAGTCATTCGGCGGCTCCATGCGAAGTCATTCGGTGGCTCCATGCGGAGTCATTTGACGGCTCCAAGCGGAGTCATTTGACGGCTCCAAGCGGAGTCATTTGCCGGCTCAGCTGCGAGCCATCTAGTGGCTCCAAGCAGAGCCATCATACCAGTTGCTCGAATCGGCACTCCCAGCTTAATCCAAAACTCGGTTGCTCTGTTGTGAGGTGGGGGGATGCTAACCTAGGAATGGGTTTGCTCCCCACACTGGAGCTCGCGCTATTCCGTCGACTTGACACTTGACGGACTCACGACTGCCATCCAGAGTCGCCACCACTATTTCTAAACCATACCGCTAATTATTTTAGTTAGCTATCCACTTACCGGTACAGTAAAACCTGTGACTACCGACCACCTCTTGGTGCCAGCAAAAGCGGTCTTTAGTAGCAGGTGGTCTTTAGTTAGAGGTTTGCACCGCGTGACCATATGTGGATCCCATTATATGATATGTATATCAAAATGCAGCTAATACAATTCCCCAGGACTTGCGCAATGTCAGAAAGACGGAGAGATGGAGAGAGAGAGAGAGAAGATTAATTTTTTGCAGACTTCAAATTCAGCTGCTACTTCTGAAGCCAAGAGTCAAACGTTCCCTGGGGAAGTTTCGTTTCGCGCTGGGCTTCAAATTTGTTCATGCGATCAATCATACCGACTGTCCTTGTTGTGACTTCTCGATTGCTTGAGCATTAGGACCTTGTGGTGCTGCTTCGTTTCTGGATTTCTTGATGCCATCGTCGATCCGTCTGTATGACTGGGGTGAGAGCTGCCCAGTCTTCGTTTCTCCTCCGAGTAGTAACATTGATCAGAGAGCGCTTTCGATGCGCTCTCCAAGACGTTTCCTATCATGTTTTTTCTTGACAGCGCTTGAAATTTTGACAGGTGTAGTGCAGTCCACACCGACTCCACAGCCCAAATTACCTGCATTCATTTGTTCAGCTGTAGTATCGAAAGATTCTTTTCAGGACCATGGAAAATCAATAAAATTTCAAGAAGGAGCTTCGAGCAACATTTGATTTCCTACATCGCGGTCGCTAGTTACGGGTCAAAAATTGTGTTTGGGACAGGAAAAGGTGGTCGCTGGTCGCGTTCAGAAGGTAGTCGCTAGTCACAGTGCATTTTGAATGTGAGACCTTACGTGCCTGGCGAAGTGGCCGGTAGTACCAGGCTGGTCGCTAGTGACGGTGGTCTTTAGTTACAGGTTTTACTGTATATCCCTTACCGAAATTGTATTCTTGAACGCAATATTCTTCTTTCTTTTTCTTCTACTCCGTTCCATCAGCACTCGGCCGATGGCAGGAGATTGGTACCCACTGGGCTAGCATGCAGCAGCCAAAGCTGGGGCCTTTTCTTACTCCGTCAAACCCACTTCTTAAAACGAAACTGACGTGCATATTCACATTGCATGTTGTGAATGTCCCCATATTTGCCCCGACATCTTAGCTCGTAAAGCGCTCCAGATACATCTATGCTACGGTGCGCAACGCATACTCGAATTACGGTACGGGACACATACGGGATACTGCACCAACCATGGCATGCCACGTGAACCACCCTACCAGGCACCGTGACACGCACCGAATTACAGCGGTGTGGATACTGGCTAGCGCCAGATGCTACTAAAGTACAACTGAATAGCGTCTTTTGCATAGCTACGGGAATAATCTCATATCCCAAGCATTGCAGCTCTGCTAATAGAATAATTCAGGTTACTCCCACTCCATTTCTCTAGTGCTTATTTTTCTGAAAAAATATCATCTTTGGCACCAGAATGCTGCCACCAAGAGTACATTAACCAGAGTGTGCAGCCCAAAGAGAATCATCCCACAGCAAAGTTTATTGTTTAGGGCATAGACTCGCAGTAACAGTCTCACCTTTGCTGCATCTCACACCGCTTCACACGGTCATCTACTCTATCACCATGGTAATTTCTGTGGCACATTGCTGCTTGTTTAACAAAAACGTAGAAAACACACCGAATTTCCAGGTAATTACCATGGTGATACGGTACTTTAGCTTGAACCTATTGTATGACGGGTTTTCTACGATTCATAACGACCTAGGGAATAACTAACAGTTAGCGACGCAATTCTTCTGAGGTGTAAAGTGACTTCAGGAATACATGTATGTTGCAGAAAACTGCGATGCATGCTGATTATTTACTGTGCCCTATTGTGCACCATATACCTGGTGGGTTACTCAGGGATAAAGTAGATGCACACAAGTGCCATGCATCACGGCACAGGTTAGGTTCGCAACTAGCTGCTACAGTGTACTTGTGGTCCGAACTTGCACTCTACTCAGCTCTGCATACGCAAAGAGTGCTGGTGCCGAAATGAACCAGAAGGGTGCTGAGTGGGACGCAACAACAGTGACTCTGGATACCCATGTACACAGATATGATAGGGTATGCAGTACCTGCTCTAAGATTTAACACAAACCGGGTACACGTCTACCTGGCACAACTCCTGCAACACTGGGCCAGGGCCAGATGCGTTCAAGTGCGGCTACTGTGTGTCAGGGAGTCGTAAACTTACTTTCGACTTCCTGATGTACATGATTGTACATGTACATGTATGAACGTACTCGCACTGGGCACTCTGGCCGCACGCATCTGCACGCGTATGCAGCCTGTCAGTGGCGGTATACCCTCGAAGTATAAAAAAAAGTATAGTACTCGACAGGACTTCCGACCGGGTCGCAGGTAACCCAGTGTTCTTTTTCCAAAAGGTCCAAGTACTCACAAACAGGGCCACTGACCTCGCTCTGGAGCAGACACTGGTAATCTAGGTCCAAGTTTGCTCGATTATGTTCTGACGCTTCATGTGCTTTCATAGCCAAGGTTTCTCACTTTCTTCGCAAGCTCTTTTAGTCTTGAGAGTTGACAACTGCTTATGGTTGTGTTGGCAGAAAACATGTCAGCTAATCTGACAACCGTCCAACCCCATTTTACTGGTAAGTAGTCAGCGAGTGGCTTTGATGGGGCCATACTAGAGGGGAAGTTACGCGGTATATTTGTGCTTCCTTTTTGAAAACACGTTCTCGCTCGAAGGGTTTCTAAACTTTATCCCTGCGCTCATTGATGGAGTTCATCGATGGAGTTGCCAGCGGCACTCTACAGAAGAACAATGTTGTCAAGTTTTTTTATGAAAAATTGTCAAACATTTTCAAATTGCTATAAGTTTGGTTAGGGCCGGGTTCCACTGCGGCTCCGCAGCTCCGCTGCTCCACGGTACTTGGCTGCATGCAGCAGAGCGGCGCGGTTCCAGTGACACTCGCCATTCACGGTACCGCGATCGTGCTCGACGTTTTTTGATGACATTTAGCCTGCCTGCACGAGCGTGAAATCCAAAAAAATCCTCGTGTTCTGGCCTGTGCAACGAATTAAAATTCCCCCGAATAAAACAATTAAGCGCGGGAAACAATGCAAGCCGTGACCGCGGCTTGCATTCTTTTGTATCAAGCAGCGAAGCGAAAGCTGGTGATGAGCCGCGGACTCGCTGGACCAGCTCGTAATGATGACGTTTCATGCCGTGGATGATGTTTGTTTGTTTTTTGTTTTTTTTGTTTTTGTTTTTGTTTTTTTTACTAAGGCCACAGCTTCCAATCATGACATGCAAAGCAGCGGTGCAGCATCGCAGGCATGAATCGTGGACGTGGTGACGGGGTCTGATGTGCTCCACCGACCTAGGGTCTCGGCTTCACTGCACAGCAAACGCGTCGAAAGAAAACGGGGGCTAATAATTATCGGGAGATGGGGGGGGGGGAAGAAGAAGAGAAGAAAGAAGAGAGAGAGAGAGAGAGAGAGAGAGAGAGAGAGAGAGAGAGAGAGAGAGAGAGAGAGAGAGAGAGAGAGAGAGAGAGAGAGAGAGAGAGCGAGAGAGAGCGAGAGAGAGCGAGAGAGCGCGAGAGAGAGCGCGCGTGCGCGAGAGAGAGAGAGAGAGAGAGAGAGAGAGAGAGAGAGAGAGAGAGAGAGAGAGAGAGAGAGAGAGAGAGAGAGAGAGAGAGAGAGAGAGAGAGAGAGAGAGAGAGAGAGAGAGAGAGTGTGCGGCGGAGCGGCAGTGGAACCCAGCCCTTAGGCAAAGGAAATTTGTCATTAATTTGTTTATGCTGCATAGATGGAGAGCTGCACACTCTGGCTTATGGACTCTCGCCTACAGTGTAGTCGTACTGCTAGTGTACTGGCATTACAGAAGACACGAAAAACGAGAACATAATTATGGCGAGAAAGTAACTACTGGCTAAGAATTGCCCTAGGACTTACCGCTTCTCAGTGCTCCATACCAGGAAGTAGTACAATACCTACTCCCTGCTCCATACGAGTGTTTTCTCCTCATTCTCTGCATCCTTTACCCCAGGAGTCTCGTCCATTTAGCGGCTCAAATGCTTGAGCTCCGGATAGCGGAAAATAGCTCGTCGTCCATTAGCGGCTCTAATAGTACCTGGTCTGAAGTGTCGCAGTCTAGCAACTATGATTTTTTCCAGGAGAGTAAGGGTTGCAAACCCAAAGAGACCCTAAGCTTCGTCTATCAAACAAAACAATTGCCCTAAAAAATGGAAGAGGAAAAGAGTGAGCGAGCTGGTCTGAGCGCGCTACTTTTCAAAAAATAGAAGCTGAAAGCCATCAAAGTCAAAGCATTCTGGCTAGCGCGTTTGTGTATGTCACGAGCGCTAGCGCGCTAGTCGAAGCAAACGCTCGCAGGCCAGAGTTAGCGCTATTTGGGCTGTTTGCCGCACGCGGCAGCTGGATGGATCACGTGATCCAAGCTGACAAATAAGGTCCGATGGTTCAGCTACATTGAGCCACAAGCGACGGAAACCGTGAGCTACATGACGAGTGGACACTTATGTGCATGAAACGCAGCGTCAACCGACTGTCTCTGTTCTCTTCTGGCTTTGTGACGATTGTACATGAACTGGACTGGCTAGACCTACATGTATGCTCAGCATAGGACATGCGACAACGAGTGGGCTTTACAACCACCATACCACCAAGGCCAGAGAGCTGCATCACGACACATGTATCCGCATCAGATACTATTATGCGATCATTACTACATTAGCTGCAGGCTTGCAGGTTACTGTTTGACAGTTACAAAAACCGGCTGTAACTAGGTTACTTATACAGTACAGTACTCACTAGTACTGGCACTTGTCAAAGCTGTTCAGTGATTGTACAAATAATTCATGAAGCATGCATTTGGAACAGAGGAGTGTTTTCTTTCTTGGGAGTGCTGTAGTGTAGTGTATTGTGCTAACGTTAATGGTGACCATGGTTTTCTGTGGTGACTAAGGTGATGTGCCCATACAGACGATTCCTCATAATAATAACAATGATAACGAACGAACACAGGAGAATTGGTTCGTTATAGTCGAAGTTCGTTATAACAGAAGTACAGTTACACTGTGGCGATGTCACGTGGGCTCAATCTTACTTGGACATGGACAACGGTTCGGTATTATCACGAAATTCGCTATACATCTACATGTACATGTATGCGAGTTGGTTATACATGTCAGTGGAGTCAACTGTAGAAATTTTTGGATTCTCGCAGCTGACGTACGACTTCCTGTGCTGTGCATTTCCCAAGGTTCCAGGCCACTGAAAATGAACTTTGTCATGTAGATATCTCAGGCCGGGGGGGGGGGGGGCGGTATCCGGCATCTCGGTGTGTGACCATGGTGGTCTCTTCCCGTCGTGTACCAGTACTCACACAACACACGCACAGGCACACCAGTGCGCAATCCTACACAAACACACAGACACCATGTACCATGTATACCATGTATACGCCCGTCGCAAGAGAAGCTCGCAAATCTGCAAATGCACTGGATGTGCACCCACAGATTTTCTCATAGCAACGATAGCGAACAAGATCTGAATGAGACAGATCAAGACTTGCGCCAGATAACTGTCTCTCTCACACAAACACACACACACGAGCACACACATGCACGCGAACACACACACACACACACACACACACACACCTGCCATGACTCAAGTCCACCAAGCAACCACAATCCAAGGATATCATTGCAAACAAAATCATGAGCAGGAGCTTCCCAAAGAAGCAATGATAATCCGGATGCAGCCAAACTTGCTTGTGATGTACACCCAACACAACGGAATACACAAGCACCACCAACACAAAGTAAAGAGCATGCTCGTGACATTAAAAGAGATAAAGACAGAAAGAGAATATACTTTACTGTATTCTTTAAAAAAGAAGGTAGGGCACATGCACGTCAAAGGCACAGGTGTGGCAGATGAAACGTTAAATCCAAAACAGAATACAAGCACATGGCATGCAGAAAAAGACCAGAAAGGACACGCAAAGTAGTCCCAGGACAGCCGTGGGGATAAAGAGATGCGACTGGAGAAAAGAGGCGCAATACACTATGCCACAGGCTAACGAGGGAACTGCTGCCTCAAGATGATGCCGGAAAAGGTGCAACTGTCCGCTTCTTAACACTACTGGGTAGCTGACTCCTTGCAACAGGCCACGGCTAGGGGATTTCCATGCACAAGATAAGTATAACTGTTATACGAGACTGGGATTGGGATTGCATAGTCCCCAGCCAGCTTGCTTCTGTGATACTTGTTTCTGTAGTAATGCTGGATGGTAATGCCTGTGTCTGTGGCAAAGAGATTCAGCCATGCTTCATGCAACCAGAAAAAGAAAAGTACAAAGTCATGTACATCTTTAGAAAACATGCAAGGACGGAGCGGAGACGGTAAAGGAGCCGATGCAAACACACCACACACACGTGCCGAGGGAGATAGGCAGAGAAAGACAGAGAGACAGTAGAAGAAAGAGAAAGAGAGAGAAGTCTGCGTATGTATGTGTATGTGTGCGTGTGTGAGTGTGTGTTGGGGGGGGGGGGGGGGCGTACATTATTGTGCACGTGCACGCATATGAGTGTACTTGCGAAGGTGTTTGTCTGTGTGAGCAGGTGCACTCATGTGCATGACTGTATATTTGTGTGGTGGGGGGGGGGGCATGGGGATGGTGACACAGACGGACAGAGAGACAGACAAACGGACAGAGAGAGACAGACTGACAGACAGACAAGCAGACAAAAGAGACAACAGAGAATGCCCGTGTCACAGGGCGAGTTGGCTTAATTGCAGCACACCCATCACCAACACAAACACATCCAGTTACAACGCTTCGCTTCGCGGCTTCACCTCGTCCCCTTCAAGATCCTCATAGAACGAGTAGGTTGGGTTCTCAAAGCCGTGCTGCTTCACGTACATGATAGCCTCCAGATCACGCTCATCCTCTGTGGCCAGCGGACCCTTCGACGGCAACCGCGGTGCATCAGACAACGGCGACACAGTACGACGGATTATGCGCTGTCTTCGTTCTTTTGTGCAGTACATCATAAGCGTAAAGATGATACCCGCAACCAGGATGAATCCGCTGACGGTCAAAAGGATGTGCTTTGCTGGCCACTTGAACGTCTTCGACGCGCCAGGCTTCTCTTCGGCTACAGGACTTGTGGGTGGTTCTTCGGTTTTCTCCTGCATGTGGATAAGCACACGTGGACACACAGACACAATGTGATACAGTCATCTTGTGAACACCTCCATCTTGCCCTGATGATGCTCAATGGGCGAAATGATGGAAGTTGCCGTATTTTCCGTAGTATAAGCCGCACAGGAGTACAAGCCGCAATCCCATTGTTGTGCCACGAAATACAGACATCTCTACTATTTTATCACCACTAATTTGATCATCGTAGTATAAGGTGCACCCCCCCCCCCCCTTTGTTGGGTACAATTTGAGTGTTCACAGTGCGGCTTATACTCCGGAAATACGGTATTTATTGATGGCCAGCAATCGAGGACATCTGGGAGTTGAAATTGTTGTACTCCTCCGAGGTGTGATTTTTGGCGTGCTGGGCCAAGCACAAGGAAACCACCTGTCAAAAAAATGAAGGAAACGGTTGTTGGTTGATCCTTTGGTGTAATCTTTGTAGCTAGTCGAAGCAAGTTGCTGTTGGGAGCAGAAACGCTGAAATTGACTATGTTCTGCATGTACTCATGTACTCAGGCATGCAGTCTTACTCGTATTTTAGCACTTTTTCTGGAATGGAAGCTGCTCTACGCCCCTTGGTGAACATTTCCTGCGCTCGCGGAGCAGCTGAAAAGGACCACTGGTATGTCTGGTTCCTGGTTTGAAAGTGGAGAGTCGACTTTTGTGTCTTGAAAAAGGAGTAGAGAGTGATACGGCTGTAGCTTATTTTGAGTGCTCCTCATACATTTTTGATCCTGATCGAAATTCTCAGACCAAAGTCAGCGCGATGATGGTCGATCAGTTTTCTTGTGGATTTTTTAGTTGTTTCGTCTCGTATCTATGTCAGTATCGTGATGGTGAAGTGGAGAGGGTGATTTTCTTCCTCTGGGCTTCGTCGGCCGACTTTGTTTCGTCCTTGTTGAAAAGTGATGCTGAAAAAAAGGTCGATTTGCAAAATTATGTTGATTTTGAATGTACAGTGAAACCTGTCTAAGGCGACCCCTCAAGGGACGAGAAAAAGTTGTCGGCGTGGCCAGGTGGTCTTCTTATCCAGGTTCAGTGGGTCACGTGATCATATCCACATGTGATACCGTATTTTCCGGGGTATAAGCCGCACTTTTTTTCGCTAAAAATCGGACCAAAATCGCCCCTGCGGCTTATACACCGAATATGCTTGCGCGAAAGAATGCTTAGCATGGCATACATCAGTATGCATGCTGACGTCATGTGACATGTCATTCGACTCAGCTTCACGCCTGTGTTGCTATCCCGGCACTTTTACTAGTTTTAGTGCATCAGTGGCAGCGAGACTGAAGATAGTGCAGATGACATGGAGTGATCTGTAGTCAACACAGCAATACACCAACATCTCTGCAGCAACCTGTGGTGCACTAACACTTCATAATCTGATCTAACATGGTATTTAGCTCCATAACCATAATAAATTTGTAGAAAGGCCATTTGTCAATGAGTGTAAAAAATCTTGGTTTATGGGTGCGGCTTATACTCTGAACACCAACTTTTGGTCAATATTTTGCCTCAAAAAGGGGGGTGCGGCTTATACCCCGGTGCGGCTTATACCCCGGAAAATACGGTACATCATTTTGATCAGTGCATCACAGTGCACACACCTTTGCTACTCTAGCACGGCCTGTGTGCCTGGGCAAGGCTGGGGTCCTCAGACCTGTCAAATGCCGTGCATGCACCATGTACATCTACACTTCCTGCACTGATGTGTAGATCTACCATGCTTGGTGCACCATGTAATGCGTACATTTACATGACTAGCACTGTGCAACGCGGTCGCGGGTGGGTGGTCGTCGGTCGCGTTGAGCAAGTGGTCGCCTTATCCGAGGTGTTTTGAATGTGAATGCGTCCGTGACAAGGAAAAGTGGTCGCCATGGTCGAGTGATCGCCATATCCGAGTGGTCGCCATGGTCGAGTGATCGCCATATCCGAGTGGTCGCCATTACAGGTTTTACTGTACGTTATGACATGCGATTGCTGGCTATGATTATTCTTGTCGTAGAGCTGAGAGCCTGTGCGGGGATGGAAGTGTTTGCGAGTGTAAATATGATGCCGCAGTGGAGTTGGAGAGTGTAAACGAAACGTTACACCGTCCTGCTCAAGGAGATCCAATCGCGAAAGTACAGCGAAACCTGTCTAAGACGACCG